AGACAGAGAGAGAGAGAGAGAGAGAGACAGACAGACAGAGAGAGAGAGAGAGAGAGAGACAGACAGACAGACAGAGAGAGAGAGAGAGAGAGAGAGAGAGAGAAGAGCGGCACCACTCTCAAAGATATTTATGCGCTGTGGGCCATCGCCAGGAGGAAACAACCTCCCACTCAGAAGTAAGGAGGACGTTGTCGACCAAAGCCAAAACAGACTCAAGGCCGGGTCTGTGCTCGTGCTCTGGCCTCGGCTTCTCAGGGCCCGAGCGAAAAGAGAAGCAAGGCCCTCTTCGAAAGACGAAGCAGAGGATAAGGGCACCGCCTCAGATCGACGAGGCACTTTGGAGATGAGGAAGCTAAGGCGAGTCGGAGGGTCCATGCCGCCAAGGTGCTGGCAAGACTGCACAAAACCAAAGAGTCCGGAGTCGCACGCAGCCTTAGCCTCAGGCAACTCACAGAAGAAGGAGCCCCGAGAGCAGGCGAGTACGCAAGGGACCCCGTGGCGGCAGCAGAACCGCAGGAGGGCCAAAGCTCGGGCTGCTAAAGCGTTCTCGCACCTGACCTTGGGAGGCAGCGGCTTGAGACCTGAGGGCCTTTCAGCAGATCGTCTTCGGGGCCAGGCGGCTCGGCTAAACGTCCCGGCGGGCATCCGGATATACATGCTCCGCAGACGGCTCTCGGAGACCAAGTAAGACGCGAGGCTGCAGGAGGTCAAACTCCTCGCTGGAGTCAAGGGAGACTCGAGGGCCCGCACGAAGACCCATGATGCACAGTACGCGAAGTCATCGTAGGGCACGGCTATGTTCGAGGCGAGGAGAGGAGCACAGGCAGCCAGGAGGGAGAGCAGGCAGCTTTCCTGGGGAGGGGCCGAGCTGGACTCTCGGAGGGTAGGCTTGCTTCGCCCCAAGCTTGAAGGCGGTGTCGAGCACGCACGAGAAGGGCCACCTAAATTGTGTATACGAAACCCAAGCGCCCAGGAGGGACGATATCAGCTCCTCGGAAATGGCGGGAAGAGCGGCGCTCTTCAAGGTGACGTAAGACAGGGCCAACCTCCTCCGGGGCCCCGACAAGGCGGCCCCTTTCTCTGCAAGCTCGACCTCAGCAGAACAAACCTCGGCACCGGCAACCGTAAAGGTTAAGGACCCTAGGTTATCCTTAATCCTTATGGTCCGATCCAGCGAGCTGTGCCACGGCATAAGCTGCCTTTGCTCGAGCGATGCATTGCGATGCCGCGCTGGATCGGAGGATCTCGGAAAGAGAAGCCTCATCGAGGCCAGCCAGGGGGGCTGAGTCAAGTAGGCTGACGGCGAAAAAATCGTCTATGACAAGGGCCTCGGCGCAGTCAGTGAGAGGAAGTGGCCGGCCCGCAACGAGTCTGCGCTCCTTGCTCAACGGGCCCCATTTTTCCAGAAGCCCCTCATGGGCGGCTGTCGTTATCTCAACGCCAGCGTGATCCCCCTGCAGGATCGCTCGGAAGGCTCCGCAAACAAGCGGGTCTGGGCCGGGAAACGGGATGGCGGTAGCCCGGCTGCGGCCGAGGACACTGTTCCTGTCTGAGCCCAGGCTGGCTATGGCCCTTTCAAAGAATTCGCCGTGGGCCCGGGCGGCGCGCAACTCGGAGCCGAAGAGGAGGGCCAATAGCATTGCTCGCGGCGCGCTGCGGAGTCGTCCAAATCTGGTGGTAGTAGTCACTCCGGTCCGTGCTTGCACCGCACAACACAAAACCCTTGGGGACCGAAAGCCCCGTGAGCAGGAAGCCTTGAGGCAAGTCGGAGGAAACGCCGCAGACCCTGCCCTCCTGAGCATTCGGCCCTCGGCGATCCCCGATCATCCTGTCGCAGGTAGGGCCTTTGTAGGCACCGAATATTCGGCAGAGGGAGTTGGGGTGATCCGGGTCCGGGGTTACAGCAAGTAATCCTAAGGCATCCCACAGGTCGAAGACCTTCAGGATCTCCTCTTTGCTCTCCTTGGAAGCATCGGGGTAGCTGGGAGTATTTTCGGGGATTCCTCGTAGGACCGAAGGCTCACGGTAGGGGAGCAGGAGCTCTGGGAACGGAGATGAGGAGCCGCTGGGCGATGGCATCGCGGTAGGGCTGCAGAGAGGCAGGGCCAGCATCATCACGAGGCACGAGGCCCTTCACCTCCTCACAACCAGGGTACACAGCTTGGGAGATGCCGCACGTCTTCAAATAGGTGCCAAGCTCGTCCAAGCAAGCAAGGAGATGGAAAGAGGGAAGTCGAAAGGCTGGCGGGTACTCGCCTCTATGAACAACCTCAGCCTGGCAAAGACATTGCACTGCACAGGGGAAGGATGTCTCCGAAGAGCCGACATAGGAAGGGCCCGACCATCGGCGTGGGCGTGGTTAAGGGCCATGACGGCTATGTGCAAGCATCTGTCGACGAGGGTGCCAAGAAGGAGGGCGCGTCTCACAGAGCGGCTGCAGCTCTTCGTCGGGGCCACTTTGCAGAAAGCTCCTGGGCAGGGAACCGGCAAAGGAAACAAGGCGGTAGGAGGAGGCGGCTCCCCCTCGTGGAAGCGAACAGAAAAGGACGCGAGCAACAGGCGGCTGAAGCTGGTCCGGGCGGCCAAAAGCAACCTAGGCAAGGAAGCGGCCCACTTAATAAAACTTAATTTCTCCCCGAACACATCGGCACGTTCCCTTTGCTTTCTTTGCCGCCCAAAGTTGGGCTCGCAGTTGTTTTCGGGACAGGTTGGAGTCGTTGTTGTCGTTGCCCTGGTCGCCCTTCGGGAGCGACGGCGGCTTTGCAGGAGGCTTTGGCTTTGGAAGCTCGTTCCTTTTTGCCGCAAGAGCATCGAGTTCCTTCACAAAGGCGAGGGTGGTGGCCAGGAGCCTCTGATCGGCGAGCGGAGAGAACGGCCTCAGGGTTGTAGTAGGTGTCGTCGAGTGGTCCACGAAAACTCCGTTCGGAGGGTCTGGCAGGTGGGTCAGAAGCCAAGCCAGGTCCGGAGACCCATCGAGGATCGCTTGCTCGTTATTTTCATCAGCAAGGCTATCGTATCTGCAGCCCCTCGGGCCTCGCCCCGTGAAAGGAGGTCCAAAGTCAGACCGCACTGCCACTGCACCAGGCCTAGGGTACGGTCTCGGGAGCAGCCGCCAAAACGCTCCAGGTAGCGACCGCAGAGCCAGCACCTGCGCCGAGGCTTGAGGGGTCCATCCGCCGGGCAGCGGCCGCCACAACTCGATCGAAGAAAGATCCGTCCCGCAGGGCAAGCTCGGCCTGGATCTTCATTCTCCCACTCGTTCCTCGCGTAACAGAGAACCACTGCCGCCTGAGTCGAGAAGCGACTCGACACTGCCTGTGGAGAGCTGGGTCACCAGGCTCGAGAGGGCCTTTGCCTGAAGGAGCATAGCCTGAGCAGGGGGCTCGCCGGGGCCTGCCCGAAGCTCTTCTTGCATGATGCCTGGAAGGGCTTCTTCGCCTGGCGCCTCGGGAGAAGGGAGGGCCTGCACATTGACCTGGGGTGCTCTGACAGGAGGCGGCGGGCCGAGAATGTCCGAGAGCCTCTTTGGCTGTGCTCAGGTGCAACAACCTCCAGGAACCTTTGCTGGCAGCCCCTCTGCGTCAGATGCTGCCCTCTCCTTCAGCCCCTGGGTCTGCCTGATCTTGAGTGGGAAGCTGAACCTCGACAAGGGACTGGACCTGGTCGACCAGGTTCACAACCAGGTCCTGCAGGACACTCTGCTGGGCAGCAAGGCCTGCAAGGGTAGGCTTCTTGGCTTTCTCCGCCGCACGGAATTTGGCTTGTCTTCCGAGTAACCACCCGCTCCTCTCTGCCCCGGGCGTCCACGAAGCCAAGCCACGGTCGCAGCTACGACCTCGACGGCCAAGAAGAAAATGGTAGGGTCGTCCGGGTCGAAAGCAGTGTAGTCGACGATGGCCCCGGCAGGGGCGACAGACAAGAGCACATGGGGGCCTCGAAGTCTATGACCTTGACCTGGACCTGCCGAGGGGGGTATACCTGGGCCCAATCTCCCGACTCGGTCAGGGAGATGCCTTTGCAGGAAGTGGCGAGGAAGGGGCCCACGAGCCCAGCATGACCTGAAGTCTCCGCTGCCAGCAGGGCAGCCTCGGAGACAGCCGCTTGAGGCAACACCAAGAGGCATCCGCCCGGCCGTTTGAGCACACAGTAGCACGCACAAGGCGACGAAAGACATTCTTCCAGGGAGGGATCGTTCGAGGGGTCAAGCAGGTAGAAGTCGACCTCACCGGCTTCAGCAGGAGACAGACCGTCAAGGTCCATCAGCTCAACAGCTCGGCAAGTAAGTCTTGATGCCTGCTGCGTCAAGATAGACGCGGCACTCGAGTTCCGAAGGGAAGGCCTGGGAGAGGGTCACTGATGTCCGAAGGTGGTCCACCGCGACGAAATAGTCACGCTTGCTGCTGTAGATCTCCGGAGGGGAGCCGTTCGCCGAGCGGGCGACTGCGTAGAACTTGTTAGGGATGTCGAGCGGCGGAGTAGGACGAGGCAGCCTAGAGCGACCCTCTAAAACCTCTCTAACCCAACAGCCGGCGATCCACGCACGCTTTACCCTAGCCTCACCTGAGATACCTCTTGCACGCAGGACCTTGGCGGCCAACAGCCAGGCAGAGGGCACCTCGGGAAAACTCTCCTCCTCGAGAGAGGGCCTTGGAGGGCTTGCAGGGCGGCGGGGCCTTGGGATTAGGGTCCACTAAGGGGGCAGGGGATCGGCTCTTAGTCACGAGTGATATCACTGTCACCCTCGCTGCCCATACAAAGCGAGGCGGCGGCTCGAAGTCGAAGAGGAGGGCCCTTGGAACACAGTAGGAGGAGGGGGCCTTGGAGAGGCGGGCCGGAAAAACCGAAGGACCAAACCGGCACCTGTAAGGATGCCAAGGAGGAAGGTCAGTAGGATGAGAGGGCCGTCCGGCTCAACACAGTACACAGGACACCGGTAACCCCAAAGGTTTGACCGAGCACCGTCAAGAAAGAACAAGACCCACTCCAAACCAGGGGGGACCATTCGAGCCGCGAAAGCTTGCCGAAACGTCAATCAGCACTCACTTCTAAAGTACATTAAGGCCCCTATATGACTTCGAGTCAATGGCCCAGTTGCCCTCCGTCTGCTCCTGTTTCAGCCGTCGCGCGGCCGTCTGCCCATAGTTCGCAGGTCGATAAGACCAATGAGAACAGAAATGGAAGAAAAAGGGTTTAGGGTTTAGGGTTTCGGGGGAAGTAACACGAGACAATTGAAATGCTAATGGTAGAGCTATTCTGGGTTGAGCCTAGAAACATGAGAACAGTGCGGTGGCGACGACACGAAGACGACCACGACCACGACCGCGACCACGACCACGAACACGAAGACGGGGACAAAACGCCGACGAAGACGACAAAGACGACGCAACACCACTGTTGTTACTAGCAGGTTTGTTCCAAATAGCTAATGCGATACATCACTGCAGAGCATATATATGACAGCCCACATCTTAATCCTTGAAGTTATTGCAACTCTTCGGACTTGGTTGTCTTATTCCTGCTGCACTGAAAGCAAAGGAGATGTGACACTGTTCCTACAGTATGTCACAGAATGAGATTGCATCCCAGCAATGGGTGACAGCAGCAGCAGTGGGTTCTACCGTCACCATTGTCAAAATCATCAGAAGCATCACCGTCAGCAGTAGCATCAGCACCAGCACCAGCACCACTACCGCCGAACATGCCTCACATGCATCCTCATCAATGACAGCATTGTCACAACTACTCGTCAAAATCGTCACTATCACCATTCTCACCACCACCATCATGGCCATCTCCGACATCATCACTTGCATCATCGTAGTTGCTGTCGCCGCTGCCATCCTCGTCATCACCGGCACCATCATTAAAGCAATACACGGATAGATTCGAAATCATACATCCCGAAACCAATTAAACGGGAGTAACCCCAAAGACAGCATACTTTTGAACTGAGCGAGTAGGAAGAAACGACAAGCCCCTCAATGGGATGTTAACGTGCAGATCCTGAAACCGTGGCCTCGATGACCTCTGTGTGCATGCTCGTGCAGGGCTTGAAGCGGGATCGCTCCACAATGACCTCGGGGATCGTCTTAGGGGAGTAAGGCTACTTCTGGCTCTCAGGTTCAGGGCCTAAAGGCCTAGGGCTTGGGGTTTAGGGTTGAGGATTTAAGGTCTTTGTGTTTGGGGAGATGGATGGTCCGACTTTGACCCTAAACCCTAAACCCTAAACCCTAAAGGGCTCTAAGCCTTCGGCTTTGGTGCCTTGGGCCTCTTCGGGGAGGGGGGCGGGGGAAATGAGGGCTTCAGGGTCCGAATATGTCTGGCTGAGGGTTTCAGAGCGGACCTCGGAAGTGGCTGGGGTAAGCAGACCCTAACAAGTTAGCTCTGGAGTCTTGGAGTTTAGGGTTCCGGGCCCCTTTCATCGGATTCGTGTCGCTGAAGCATCGGATTGACACAAGCAAGATTGCAAGCGGAGCTGCGAACAGCCGAGAACCCCACCCTAAACCCTAAACCCTAAACCCCTAAACCCTGAACCCTAAACCCTAAACCCCTAAACCCTGAACCCTAAACCCTAAACCCTAAGCCCGTTAAGTATCTTGGCCTAAAGTCAAGCGGAGATTGTAACCGAGCAAGAGAAATGCTCCTGCTACCTACAGTAGAAGCCCAAAAGTTGGAAACCCAATAGCCTCAATCCTAAAGAGTAATGTATAGGGAATCCCAGCACCATTTGACCTTAATCCGGTTTCCATCTTTTTGCTACCTACAGTACCACCTCCCCCGACCCCATAAGGGAAACCCTAACAAGCGCATGAGGAAATATCTAAACTCCCTGGAGCACCAAAACCCGAAAACTCCGAAGCCCATTAGAGCCGGAATGCCGGGCGCTTGTAAAGCGCGTTGTTGGGCACCACCATCTTGTAGCCATCGGAGCCGGGCTCCATGAGAACCTCCCGTTCTTGCTTTGGGGTTTAGGGGCACTTAAGATGTCTTAAGCCGCCCCTGAACCCTAAACCCTAAACCCTATACTAAACCCTAAACCCTAAACCCTTAAGCTGTTAATCCTCAGGTTTCTGGGCTTGTGGAGCTTGTGTGCTTCGGTGGCTTTTTGGTTCACCGCCCGGGGCTTGGACCGCTTGGGGTTCAGGGCCTAGGGCTTTGGGCTGCGTCAGTGGAAACGCCACTGTCATCAAGCACTGTGTAGAAGGCAGAAACGAAATTCTCCCCAAGCTCAAAGCTAAATCCTAGCTCCTTCATCTTTACACCCTACAGGCCCCAGGCGCCGAATCCTGTATCAAAACCTCACATGCTAAAGCCCTTGCACCCCAGAGCTTTTCCCACCCCGTTGGCGATGCGAAGCTGCACCATGCGGAAGGCTAGGAGCCGCGCCTGAAAGGGCTCGTTGACTCTGTTCGGACTCAGGGATTAGGGTTACTGCTCTTCTTTTTCCCATCTTCTTGCATTGAGTGTTGTCATTCGCTATCATCACCAGTCTCATCATACGTCATAACAGAGACAGCAAGACATCATCTACCAGTGGAGTCAGTAGAGTGTGTGACCATTCCTTTCCTAGGTCTTGCTATGATGGCACGAATACCACTACTTCTGTGATGGCTGCAGGCGCTTGTCACTGTTGCTCTCATGGCCATGCCACTACCTCATTTCCTTACATCAAAAGCTTTCGAAACCTGGCCCGAGGGCTGCAACGGCCTAAGTCCCTTAAGTTCCGGCCTCGCGGATACTTGTGCCGGATGTGATCAGATATGTGTTTTGGGGGGGAGGATCTCGGGTTCAGGCCTTGCAAATGTCTGGGTTTAGGGCTCAAGGGGTTTCGGGTTGAAGGGGTGCTTCGAGCTCCAAAGTTTGAGGGTTCTGCCGGGAGATATTTCGAGTACATGTTGCCTCGTCACGGGGTGTTTAGGCAAGCATGGGCCTTGACTGTGATATGATGAAGGCATCTCATGTCTATCTGCCGGAGGATCCGGTGCATGCTTTTGGGGCTGAATGCTCACGATGTCGGCCCGGTGTACACACCTCAAAGAAGCCCGAGCTCAAGCAGCCCACAAACCCCGATCGCTTGAACCCCCCTAAATTCCA